CCCCAAAACAAAACCAACAAGGCATTCATTTCTGCGTGATGCGGCAGGTGAGGCAAGCCTTGGCCTTTTTGTTGAGCCAAATCTTGCCTGACAGTTTTCATGGCATTCATTTGATCTCTCATGGAGCCCTGGTGGTCCGGTGGCTAAATGCTCAGCTGTTAACTGAAGGCTCAGTGGTTTGAATCCCCCCGACAGATGAATGCTCCTGTGTAGCCTAGGAACTTGGGGGCAGGTCTGCTCTGCTCTACAGGGTTGCCGCATGCCAGAATGGACTTGATGGCAATGGCTTTGTTTTGGGGATTATATCTTTCTTTCATTGTGCAAATAGCGGACACCTACAAGGAGTGGTGGAAACCTCGCAGGGTCCACAGGATCCATCACTAGTTGGGCTGCCAACCCAAAGGTTGTTAGTATTGTTAGGTGCTGTTGAGTGGGATACAACTCACGGCAACCCTGTGGACAGCAGATCCGAACCCTGTCCTGTGCCATGCTCATCATCTCCGACACACTGCTGCAGTCACTGAGTCTGTTCATCTCACTGAAGGTTTTCCTCTCGTACTCTCCACCCTTCCAGGATGATGTTCCTTTCCAAGGAATAGGCGCTTCCAGCACGTGCTCAAAGTATGTGAGATGAAGCCTTGTCGTCTTTGACCTGGTTCTTCGAATCCACGAGCTGCACAGGGAAGGATGCGCAATCTCTTCCCGTGTGATTTACTGCCTCTGAAAACCTACTTGGGGGTCAGCTATAAGTTGATTCCAATGCAAAAGTATACAACAACTAACCAAAAACTTGGAGATTCCACTCCAATGGCCACTCCACAGGAAGAAGCGGAGCACTCCCCCATGACGATTCCAGCTTTGGGAACCTGGAGGAGGGCCACTGGGAGCTGGGATTCCGGGATCACCTCCAGCAGTGGTGTGGTGTGGGCGTTTGGCTTGTTTATTTTGTTACTTCCAAGGAGTCGCAGATTGACACATCAAGTGTGTGTTTTTTGAGCTTGGATTTCATGTGGGTGACAATTCTATAGTGTGAACACTTCCCTGGTATTGTTTTTCTTGACCCTGTTAGGTCTTCACACTAGGTATAAGGTCAAGGACTAAGGAAGAGGGGAGAGAGAGAGAGAGAGAGAAGAAAGAAAAGAAAGAAAGGAAGGGAGGAAGAGCGGAAAAGAGACAGAGAGAAAGCAAGCTAAAGCAGCTTTATTAAGGGGCTCCCTTGGTCTTTATGAAGGGGGATTCCTTGGTCTGGAGAGACAGACCAGTGAAAACCGAGCCCTAAGGTGGGTTGGGAAAGTGGGTTAAGGGTCTTTACTGAGGGAAGGAAGGGGCATTACTTTGTGGTTTAGCCAGGTGCCTGAAGCCGGTTTCTTCATTCTCCTCTTTGACCTTGGTCTGGGCCTGACAGACCCGTCCTTTCACTGAGTTTTGGAGGCTGTAAATCAAGGAGCAGCTGGTGGATTTGAACTGCGGATGTCACACACATAATGAATTTTCAGTTAGTAACAGCTCACCCTACAGACTCACCTGTGGTGCCCAAGGCCTTTCTATCATTTCATTGCAAGTTGAACCGTGAGAGTGAGTCCGCTCCACTGCTTGGAGGGTGCGTAGAACTCGTGGTCTCAGGGTTCCACCTTGCTCTAGGACGCTGGCTTCTTTTGGATGATTTTGAGTTTTTGTCTGCATTTTCCTCCCACTATATTGGGAACCTGCCATCAGGATTCCTTTCCGAATGGCCAGCAGTGGCCTCGATGGATTGACTCTTAACAGAAACCCCTCCCTGTCTGCCTTTACAGTTACTTAAGCCTCACAGTAAAGGCGGCCAGAGACAAAAGAAGTGAAATTCCTTAGCTTGCTGCTGCCTGGGAGGCCAGAGAGAGAGAGGGACTGTGAGTGTTTAAAATGGAGGGAGAGGGAGGACAGGTGCCACTGTCCTGAACAAAGCTGACCTGGGGGCAGTTTTAGGGGCAGGGTGTTCCCGCAATCTAGGGCGTGGGGAGGAAAGCCAAGGGCATGGGAAATAATTTGTGAAAAGAGGAGAGTCTCCCAGAAGGAGGGGGCTGTGGACTGTTTCAGTACAATTTTGGAGAAACATTGTTTTCAATTGACTTTGCCACTGTCCTTGTTCACATATCTTAGGAACATTGTGGTCTGATTAGCAGTGGGGCTGAGTTTGGGTTTTTCAAGGCAGAGGGACGACAATAGAACAGGAGATTGGATTGTCAGGCTGACGGGGTGCTGCCTGTGTGAGGTCATGACTGAACGTGCAGTATCGAGGACACAGAGGCGTGGGGGCCCATTAGGGAGAAACGGAATGGAAAACACTTTGATTCTTACAGTTTCAGAAACAGCTCTCAGGAGCTTCACAATTCCAAGCAGCTTTAGTTATTATTAAGGGCTGGATTATTTAGTAGGGGTTTTAGTGGCCTACTGGCTAAGGAGTTGCATTGCCAACCCAAAGGCAAATGGTTTGAATGCACTGGCTGCTCTACGGGATAAGGATGGACAACTTCTGGAAACTTTTGGAGGGTCAGCCATGAGTCAGTTCTAACTTGAGAGCAATGAGTTGATACTTCGAGGGTGAAAACTCAATGGAGGTTCAATTCTGAGTCATTTCCGAGTCCACAGCTACGACTCTTTTACTCTTTCTGCCAAAGATCAACCAGGAGGTTCAAACCGTTGGTCTTGAGATTAGCAGCTTTGTACAAAACAATCAGAGTCACAAGAGTTTTGCTGCCTTTGCTTAGTCACATGCTATTCTCTTACCACACTAAGACCAAGAAGTAGCATTTACTATTTATGTGGAACAGTGCAGTGGTTATGAGTTGGACTAACCGTAAAGGTCAGTGGTTCGAACCCTTCAGCTACTCTGCAGAACAATAGTTTGCTTCTGTACAGACCTGCAAAGCAGATGAAGCAGTTCTACTTTCTCGCTGGGTCCTAAGAGTTGCAGTCAACTTGTTGGAAGTGTTAAATAAATTAACATTTTTTTGGTAGCGGCAATGAGCTCAGTGGTTTCCAAGCTTATGACAGACTCTTCTCAGCAATCCTGTGAAGTAGGGTGTACTACTATCCCCATTGTAGGGATGGGAAACCGAGGCTCAAGAAACAAATAGCTGGGAGCTCTGGTGCCCTAGTGGCAAGAAGCTGCACTGCAACCCCAGAGGTACGCAGTTCAAATCCACCAGATGCTCTGCTGGAGAAGGAGGGGGCAATCTGATTTGACGGTACACGTAAAAATAATACAATAAAAAACAAATTTTAAAAAACCCCAAAAACACAAATACCTGACCAACTTCATGCTTTAACTTCACACCTTTCCACAAAGCTCTCCGCTCCACCAATCAGAGAGTTCGGGGGCGGGCCCCGCTCCGGCCCCGCCCCTCCGGCGAGCGCCGGGAGGAAAGCAGAGGGACGTGAGCTGCCGAGGCGAGCGGGTCCCGCCCCCGGCCCCGCCCCGGCCCCGCCCCCGGCGCCGGACCGGAACTATATGACCCCGGAAGTTCCGGTGCCACTGCTGTGTGGGATAAACAGTAATGGCGGAGGCTGCAGCTCCCGGAACAACAGCCACAACATCTGGAGCAGGAGCGGCAGCGGCGGCGGCGGCAGCGGCCTCCCCCATCCCTATCCCCGCCGTCACCTCGCCGGCCCCGGGGGCTGGAGGCGGTGGAGGCGGCACCGACGGCGGCAGCGGCGGCTGGACCAAACAGGTCACCTGCCGGTGAGACGCGGTGCGGCCGGGCGGAGGGCGGGGGACCGGCGGGGGACCCACCTCGGCCGGGCCGCGTCAACCCCCGCGGGGTCCGCTCGCGCCGGACGGCGGAGCCCCGGTGACTCGGCGCCGCTCCCGGCGCGGTGGGTCCTTCCGCCCGGGCGCCTTGCGGGGCTGGCGGCGGAGCGGGGCTCCGAGCTCCTCCGGGGACGCACGGCGGGCCGGCTCCCAGCTCGAGATCGCCCAGTCCGGGCGGCTCCGAGCTCCTCCCGGGACACACGCCGGGCCGGGTCGCTCAGCTCCGGATCATCCAGCTCTAGATCGCCCGGCTCCAGGTCGGCTCGCAGCTCCTCCGCGGGGCGCACGCCGGGCCGGGTCCCAGCTCTAGATCGCCCATAGATCGCCCAGTGCGGCCGGCTCCCGGCTCCGGGTCTCCGGGTCCCCCGGCTCGGATCCGGCTCCGAGCCCCTCCTTCCTCGCGCGCGCCGCCCCCCGCCCACTGCTTTGTGGCCGCCCTTTGTACGCTGTGCGGCCGGGCGGTTCGGAGCTTTGTCTCGGAACCGGGTCGCCGCTCGGCTCAGCGCGGGCCAGCCTCCGGGTCCTCCCCGTCCGCCCGAGGGGCGTGGAGCCGCCGGCGCCTCCCAGGGGAGCGTTGCTCGTGTGGCTGCGGGTGGGGTGAGGGTCGTGAAGGAGGGGACCCGGGGGTCGGCGGCTGCTGGATGTGCGCGCAACCTGGACTTCTGAAAACGCCATCAGCAACTATTTAAATTTTTTTTGTCTTTTGGGAAATCCGGTTGGAGCTCTGGCCCTTATCGTGATGTGCTGATTTAGATGTAAACACAAGACAACGATTCCCAGTCTGCATAACTCAGTGTCCCAGTGAGGAGACTGTAAATGGACAGACTCGGGTTCTAAATGTGGTACATTTAGGGTATGCATAAGAAACTTGATTATTGCAGGAATCGAATGTTACTGTTATGTGCCACCGAGTCATAGTGACCCTGTGTAACTGTCCTGAGCCAGTCTCGCTGACTTACACCCACCCCCATTGCCCGCCTACTGTGTCAGTCTGTCTTATCTGGGGTGGACCTCGCCTGCACTGTCCCTCCACTCTTCCAAGCATGATAACCTTCTCCAAGGATTAGGCTCTCCTAGCCACATGCACTTCAGAAATCCTAGCCTCCAAGGAGAAACCTGATTTCACCCTCTACAAGACAGACCTATTTGTTTTCTTGGCGGTCCATTCAAGACTCTTCTCCAACACCACAACTCAGAGGCATCAAGTCTTCTGTCATCCTTAGTCATTGTCCAGCTCTCTGAGCACAGCAAGTAATTGCAAAGACCATGGATTGTATCAGGCACACCTTAGACTGGTATCGTGGCTTCTCAGTACTCTGAAGAGGTCCCTGACAGCTGACTTACTTAATGCAGTTAGCAGTTTGTCCTTTGATTCCCTGACTGCTGCTGGCAAGAGTGTTGATTGTGGAACTGAGCAAGCTGTGACTGTTAACAACCTCAGTCTCTTCTCCTTCCATCATGGTGCTGCCATTTGGCTCAGTGGTAAGAATCTTTGTCTTCTTGATGTTGAGCTTCAAGTCATATTGAAGACTACAGTCCTTGACCTTCTGCAGCAAGTGCTTTAGTATAAATGCTGGTCCAGGTACTTTATAATTTATCTCTAGGCTTTTAAGAAGGAAGGTGAGTAGAATATCCCAAGGCTAAGAATTTTTTTTATACCTATTTTAGGAATCAGCTGTTTAAATCTGCTACTTTTCCTTTTTTCTACCCAACAGCAACTAGTTGATTGATTGTATTAAATGAATCAGTGAAAAAATAACTAGGGTGACCATTTTCCCTGGGTCTTTAGACTCTCTTTCTCTGGCCGCCCCCTTCCTCCCCCTGCCTGGGCTTTACCTGTCGTCTTAATGGGTCTGGAATGGGAGGCTGACTTGGCGCACATCTGGTGCACGCCTGTTCCTTCTCCCCCTGGCAATGGCCTTGTCAGTGCTGTTCTAAGACCTAAAATGTCTGTGCTTCCCTTTAGGATCACTCACTAATGAAATATCCCAAATGGTTTCTGATCAGAGGGATTTTTTTTTTTTTTTTTGGTCCCCATGAACCAAATAGATTGACATATTTAAAACTGCTATGTAATTGTCTGAACAAGCTGGAGGTAAGGGATATGTATTTACAGAAACACAGAGAAGTGTCTTCATGGTTGCTTGAGGAAATTACCTACTTAAAGAAATCTAGGTTCCTTGGCATTTCTTGGGTTTAATGTTTGACATTGTCGTTATATTAGGTCCTCATCTTGATTGGATTTTTATTTTTTTTTTAAATCTTGTTGTGTACTGTGGAATCCAATCCGGCCGACGTGCTGGTGCATTTGAACTGCAGGCCAGAGCTCCCGTAATCTGGTTTTTTTAAAGCCTCCAAGTAGTGTCAAGTATGTATCCTACTCCCTCCAGGCTCTTGTGTTAATCCCTCTTCATTGCTGACATTGACTGTTGATAAGCCCACACTTAAATGAAACCAAAAACCACCCTGCTGTTACTTTTATCCCAGCTCATAGTGACATTCATTCTAGGACAGAGAACTGGGGCTCTCAGGCCACGTCCTTTAGGGAAGTGGGTTACCAGGTCTTTCTCCCCTGGAGCTGCTATTGGTTTTCTACTGCCAGCCTTTTGGTTAGTTGGTAAACCTTTGACCACTGTACTGCCTGGATTCCTCACCTAATGTTGTTGTTGTCACTGTTAATATGTGCCTTCATGTCGCCTGCAACCTATAGTGACCCTGTGTACAACAGCCCTAAACCCTGCTTTATCCTGTGCCAATCTTATTTTCTCTGACACATGTACCCCTTTACCACAGTCATTACTAAATCAATCCATCTCATAGAGGGTCTTCGTCGCTTGCGCTGTCCCTCCACCTTTCCAAGCATGACATCCCTCTCCAAGGTCTGGTCCCTCCTTGCAACATGTCCAAAGTATGTCAGATGAAGCTTCAGAATCCTTGCCTCCAAGGAGTAGCCTGGTATCACCTTCTCTAGGATGAACCTGTTCTCTTAGCAGTCCATGGCATATTCAGTACTCTTCTCCAGCACCACAGCTCAAAGGCATTAATTCTATCATTCCTAGTCATTGATGAGAGACCACAGAGCTGGGTACTAACTGATGAATGGGTGGGCAGTCTCCTCCCGTGTGATTTACTGCTTCTGAAAACCTGCAGGAGGGCATGGAACAGCAGTGTCCAGAAGAAGCCTGTCTTCCAGGAGAGTTCTGGATGGAGGTGTGGTTTAGATTTGTAATCTCCCTCCCTGTGGCTTCCAGAGCTGGGAATTTGATTCGGCTGTTTTCTTTCCCCAGGGTGTAATCCTTTTAGAAGCCAGGCTCTTTGGTGTGAATGTTTGCATTTAACTGCCAGAGTCATACATAGTCTCTTGATGTATACCGTTGTTAGTTCTCTTGAAATAATCTCATTTTGTGTTTGATTTCTGCCACTTAAAAAGCTATTGTCCTGTTCTCAAGAACTGTGTTCTGCTGCCCCCACCTGGCTGTTCCCATTTCTGAGTCTCCTTAAAGGAATGGAAGTCCTGTAACACTTGCAATAGTGACTGGGTTGCTGCTAGTTTCCTGGAGTGGGTGCGACTAAAACAATTAATGCTTCAGGGAAACTTGTTACTTTCCCCCAGATCACTTCACACTATGTCTGTTGTAGTCTATGACACATGTTGTTAACCCATAGCTGACCCTCCTGTGGGTTTTCATAGGCAGTTAAGAGATTTCCCATCCTTACCTGTGGAGCAGCTGGTGGCCTCTGTAGGATAGGATAGGGTTTAGCTCTATTATTCATAGGGTGACCCATAGTGACCTTATGAATAACAGATCTGAACCCTGCCCTGTCCTGCGCCATCCATTGTGGCAGTCACTGTGTTAGTCCATCTAGTGAAGGTCTCCCCCCCATTTATGCCAACCCTCCCCTCTCCTAGACACAGTCTCCCTCTCTGAGAAATAGCCCCTCTTAACAACATGCCCAACGTATGTGAAAGGAAGCTTTATCATCCGCTCCAAGGAGCACCCTGGCTGCACCTTCTCTTAAGATGTAATTGTTCTTTTGACCGTCCATGGGGTATTCAGTACTTGCCTTCAGCACCACAGTTCAGGCATCAGTTTTTCTCCTGTCATCCTTTTTCATTATCTAGCTCTTGTGATTGGCAAGGCCATGGCCTGAATGGGCAATACCGTTGTCTTCAAATTGACATCATTACTCCTCAATAATTTGGGGAATTACCTAACTGAAGACAATACATCTCCTGATTTCCTGACTGCTGACAACAAAGGTGTAGATTGTGAATCCAAGCGGATTCAATATGGAATCGTTGACAACGTTAATCTTTTCTCCATCTGTCATGATATTGTATATTGGTACAGTGGTAAGAATTTTCTTGACATTGAGATGCTCTCTATATTGAAGGCTGTGTTCTTTCTTTAATCTTCTTCAACAAGTGCTTCAAGTCATGCTCACTTTTAGCAAGCAAGGTTGTGTTACTAATGCAGGTTATTGATAAGTCTTTTTTTATCTTTATCCTTCTTCATTGATTCTGTCTTCCTGAATAATTTACTCAGTATATATATAGAATAGGTATGAAGAGAGGATACAACCTGGACACACTCCATTCTTAATTTTCAACCGTGGAGTGTTCTCTTACTCTGTTTGCACAACAGCTTCTTGGTCTAAGTCTTGCATGAGGACAATTAAGTGCTCTGGGATTCCTCTTCTTCTCAATGTTAACCATGATTTGTTGTAATCCAAAGCACAGATAGGCATTCTCATAATTTTTTATGTTCAGCCAGGATCTATCTGATATCAGCAGTGATCTCCCTAGTGCCATGGCCTCTTTTAAATCATGCGGTTCTCTATCTATGTACTGTTCTAGCCGTTTCTAAATGATCTTCAGCAGCATTTTGCTTGCATGTGATATTAACGTTATTTTCCATAGTTTACTCATTCTTTTGTATCCTCTTTCTTGGGAATGGCAACAAATACGGATCTCTTCCAATCAGTTAGCCAGACAGCTGTCCTCCAAATTTCCTGGCATGGACTGGTTTGCCTACATGTAATCCTAATGTCTTTTTCTTTTGAAGATGATTTTTCACTTTTTTGTTTTACTCCCATGCTTTGTAATCTATTTCCTGAAAAGAATCCAGCTTCTCATGTTTAAAAAAACACAACCCACCAGCTTTTCATGTTTGAAAAAAAGAGAGAAAAGTGGTCATTTCTAAATTTAGTTTTAAACTTGAGCTACCAAATATTGTGCTTGGTGGCCTAATTGGTTCAGACTTGCCCTGCCAGCTCAAAGGTGGGCTGTTTGAATCCACCAGCTGTTCCTCAGGAGAATGCTGGATGGTTGCAGCCTCTGAAAACCTGCTCAGGGTCTGCTGGGGGTTGATTCTGATTCGGTAGCACGTAATAATAATAGAAATACCCACCCTGTCCCTGCCAGTATTTTGTTTGTTTGTTTGTTTCCACATATGTTGTTTGTTGACTTATGTTTATCAGGAGTTGTCAGTGTTTTCATGGTTGTGTCTGCTGGTCTGCATGTGCTTCAGCCCTTGTCTTCACACAGCCACTCTTGAGGTACTTTGTCCTCAGGTGTTCTGTCTAAGGGAAGCCGAATATCAAATTTAATAATAGTAGACCAAATGCTGTTTCGGGAAATGAGGGAAGCTTGATTGCCCACCTTGTGGCAATGGGGCAGTCCCTAGGAGTTAACATTGTTCTTAGTTTGTGTCAAATGAATCCCTCACTCTTGAGATTAGCATAAAGAGGAACTTGGTCTTATCTGTAAAAGACTTTACCATTATCCTTTGTTTTGTACTTCCTTGTGATTTTACTTTTATTATCTTACGATTCTAAAGAAATACTCAGAAAAGCCTGGCTTGAGTCTTCAGTCGAGAACTGCTGACACACACACACACACACACACACACACACACACCCGTTTTACGCTCTCTGCTCTATCTCATTCCTGGCTGTTTGTCTCTTTATTAATAATTATAAAATTATTCTATTCTTTGGGACCCTCGGTCTGTAACACTGTCCTTGTCTCCCTGCTGACCATCTGTTCTTAAAGCAAGTAAGTTATTTTGGTCTTTCAGAAAGTTTTGACTATGTATGTGTAATACAAGTAATTTTCGAGAAATTCCTTGTCTAAGTCGTGGTTATGCTTACTTTAATTTTGTGATTGTGTGAGTGTGTTTTGGGAGGGATGTGGAGGCAGCCACGTATGTGACATGACCTTGGAGAGTGACCACACCTGGAAGGAATGTTTCTCGTGGTGGCTCCCAGGGCACCTGGCTGTCTTCTGGGGTTTTAGGGAAGTTTAAGCCTGGTGTGTGCAGGTGCCGTAGGAGAACAAGAACGGAATAAAGCCTGGACGCTTCCCACTTGGAGTTTATTGTTTGGTTTAAAGAGCAGGATAAATACACACATTTAAAATGAAATATCCAACTGAGAAATGTCATAGCAGATGCTTAATGCTGACTTGGTTACTGTTTTGTAATGTCTGGAACCCCCAGAGAGGTGGCTTTAATGTGTAGGGTCCTCTTGGACCCTCAGTGTTATGCGTGGGCTCCTGTTGCACCCTCGGTGTTCTGTGGGTTGCCCGGTACGTACTCTGGTGCTTCATCTCTGAGAGGCACCACAGTGGGGGTTACTAGCCAGTTGTGCTGTTCTCAGTACTGGACAGTGGCTGCTGGGACGCTCAGACTCAGGAGGTGGTGGGCACGCTCACAAAAGGCCTGGCCTTTATGGACACTTTGGTTGTTTGTAGAATTTAAAACCATTGTTTTGTTTTTTTTTGTTTTTCCCCCTTTCCCCAAAACCATTGTTTTGAGGGGCTGTGTTGATTGAATTTTCCTTTTTTCCTCTTTTCTCTTTGTAAGTCTCCCTCCCCATGGCAGGTGGGTGGGCTCTGAGGGCCTGCGGGAGGGTGGTAGGTATCGTTCTGGATTTACCGACCATGTAGCTTCATTAAGAGACCTGAAGTAGGTGCAGACTCAGAAAGAGCTCGACGTGCTGCTCCCTGGAAACAGTGCAGCAGGCGGCGGCTGTTGGAACTGCTGTTCAGTGTTTCTGGAGGTCCTGCCAGGGCAGGTGCCCTCACCTCTGCTTGAGTTCCTTCAGAGCAGCCTGATCCTTCAGCCTTCTGTGGAGCCTGATCTATCTCAGACCTGGAGGCGGCCAGCTCTTGTTCCGACTCCTCCTTTTACCAGGTGGGGTCTCAGTTCCTGCCCCTTCCTGACTGATTGGCCCACATGCACCCTTAATGTGTTTCAGAAACAAGTGTGTGTAAGTCATGGGCGGAGCAGGCCGCTCTTGTGAGCACAGTACCTGCTGGATCAGTGCGTGTAGGGTTGAGGGCCGCACAGCCAGGCAGGGGTGGAGCTGGTCCTGAAGCCCACCAGCCAGGTGTTACCCTGGTAACACAACACCTTCATATGGCTTCGTGAAGCTCTTCCATCTCTGCAGTCTGGGCAGCCAATGCGGCCTGCTGTGCTCGCTCTTCTTGGATTGGCATTCCTGTGGGCTCCAGAAGCCTGCCCTCCTAAAGCCATCAGGTGTGTCGTGAGACACCTCACCTGGAAGGCAGCCGGAAGTAGTGTTAGAGGATGGGTCTGATTGTGGCTCTTCCTCTTTCCAATTCTTCTGTGGTATCACTGCCTTCAGGTAGGGTAGTCAGTGCACTCTGTCCTGGCCCAGGGCCCTCCACGCCTGCCTTCCTTCCCTGGGTATGTGGGCCTTTGTGCTGGCTGCGCCTCTGTCCGGCCACCGGGCCTTGGTGGGCACTGCCCCTTGGCTTCCTTTCCTTGTCAGTGTAGCTGAGCACCCCCATCTTAGCCCCAACCTCACTGCTGGGCACACCTCAGTGGCTAGCTCTTCCCCTTTTGTGGGTTCCCCTGTGCACTGACTTTTTCTCATAGCACTTGTCGCAGGACAAGGTTTCTGGGATTGTCTCCTATCCTGTCAAGATCTGGAAGCAGGACTTGTGAATGCCTAACTCTGCTGCGTGTGTGTATACATACCCCAGCTGTGTGGGTGAGAGTGAGTGTGTGTGTATATGTGTCCCCTGCACAATGTAACATCCTAACCTGTCCAGAACACAGAATAGAAACTTTGGCACACTCTTCAGCAATTGTCAGGGGCTAAGAAGTCCTAATCTTCCTTGGAATGTTGAGTGAAGGCAGTAGTGTCAGTTGGGACTCGTGGTGACCCATGGATAAGGCATATGGCCCAGCAGCTTTTCTTGGTTCTCCTCTTTATAGGAGCAGAGCCCGCATTTTCCCGTGGAGCTGCTGGGCGAGTTTGAAACAACAGCCTTCAGTTAGCGTCCAAGCACTTGACTGTGATGCCTCCACCAGGGATGCAGATCACCATAGCATACTGTGGTTTAACAACAGACCTGAGAGTTTTAGTCCTAGGCCTCAGGTTTTGGAGTTCTCGGAAGATCTTTCACAAGTCTGTAAATGGTAGCACCCACCTTATTGGCCCTTTCAAATTGACAGAGCTGTTGAAGGTATTGCTGACGGTCCTGTGAATAGCGTGAAGGGGTGGACCCAGGGCTAGACAGGAAACAGCTTGTCCCGCAATGACAGGGCTTCAGATGAGCACCTGTGCTGTTGAGGGGTGAGGGTGAGACTCTGTGTGCCAGGGGTGACAACGTATACTGGAGGTGACACTGCACAGCAGTGGTAACACTGTATAGCTGTGAGTGACACTCTACCAGGGTGACACCTGTCTAGTGGGGATGACACTGTACATCCCGTAGTGACGGTGTACTTCTGTGAGTGACTGCGTAGCTGTGAGTGACACGGTGTGATGGGCAGTGGCCCCGGTACGGTCCCTGTTTCCAGCACTTGGACTGAGCTGTGGAGTCCACGTAGTCGGGGAATCCTACAGCAGATGCACAGAGGCAGCTTGAACAAGTGCTACAAGAACAGAGTTGTGATTCTCACAGACTTGTTTGCCTTTAAAAGCTTTTAGTTCCTCATCTCAAAAAACTCAACTGATGTGGTGTTGGCCGTGATTCGTCAGTGCCCCTCCTTGGGTTCCTGAGGCTGTAAATCTCAGGAGCTGATTGCCCAGTTTTTTACCTGGAAACTGCTGGTGGACTTGAACCGCCAGTGAGGCCACCACCCTGTGCACCCGGCCATCAGAGCTGCCCACCATGCTCATCTGTGCAGGACAGACAGTCTCTTGATAAAGGTGGTCTTAGCCCAGAAGGCGGGCCATGGGGTCCTCCAGCCGCCTCTGCGTGCAGCAGCAGGTTGCTGGGGTGAGCACACCTGAGCAGATGGGGGTGCATGAGTCCCCGGAGGCAGCTACCTGGTGTGGACGCCGCTGGGTCTGCACGCTGGGCCTTAGGGGAGCTGTGGGGCTGTGAGTGAGGAGCTGATACACCGTCATTTCATTTGCCCCTATTTTTGAAGGTCTTTTTTGTCTTCCCCTTGGTGGCATTTGAAGAATTAAAACAGTTCCTTGTGGACTGTGCACTTTCCCCCCTTCTGGTCCACCTGAGTTCCTGCGGCTTTGAGGTTTCCACAGGTGGAGGGTCTGTGGTTCACAGGTGCAGGAGGAGCTGGAAGGACCTTCTAGGGCTGTAGTGTGACAGCCGTGATCAGGTCACACGGGAGGCGCAGCACCGGCGTTGGTGCTGTTGGCTGGGGGCCTCTGCTCGTCTGAGCTGTGCAGCTGCTGGGTGTGTCACCATGACTCCGGAGCACCATCATCTTGTCTAAGGTGGCTTTGCTGTGCTTGTCCCACAGGTATTTCATGCACGGGGTTTGTAAGGAAGGTGAGAACTGTCGCTACTCACACGACCTCTCTGACAGTCCCTACGGTATTGTGTGCAAATACTTCCAGCGAGGCTACTGTATCTATGGGGACCGCTGCAGGTAAGGCTCTGGATGTGTGCGCCTGTGGGGCTGGCTGAAGGCTGGGTGGGGACAAGAAGGGAGCGAGACATAGAGTCCATTGGCTTATAATTATCTGTACTTAGAGTGACTGAATATTTGTAACCAGAGACACGAAACCCAAGCTCACTGCCGTTGAGTCTACCCGGACTGATGATGATGCTTTAGGGCAGAGAGAGAGTGGGATTTCAAAGGCCGGAAGTAACACGGTGCTTCCACCTCCTGTAGGTGGCTAGTGCTGTAACTGTGGTGCCAACAGCGCTGTGTGTGTGATGTATCTTCTGGTTGGGAGTCTGCAGGTGGGGAGCAGGGGAAGGGATACAACAGGTTTGTAACTGGTGCTGGGAGCCACCTTCTCCTGACCCAGCCCAGGCTGCACGGGTGTTTATGGCTTCTCAGCCTTGTACCTTCCCACCAGGCATGCATTCTGGATTAGCCGCAGCCCCCGTTCGTGTGTGGTGTAGAAAGGGCTTGTCGTTTCATCTGAGTCCTGGAGCTCAGCAGACTTATGGTCACACGCTCAGGACGGTCTCTCTCTTCCCACAGGGAGCATTGGTGGCCTGTCCACCGTTGTCATTGCTCACGGGGCTGGAATCTGATCCCTGCAGCCCCAGAGTGGCATCTGAGCCCCCTCTTATCTCTGGAAAGCTCCCTGTGTTCCTGCCAGCTGCTGTTAAGCATGTTGCCCTCAGATTTCGTGGTTTCAGTCATAAATGTGTGCTGTGTGCACCGTTCTTGGGGGTGATGTGGCCCTTGTTCCTGGCTCAGGGCCTCTCCTGAAGTGACAGGCCAGCTGTTTGCCTGGTTGGAGTGCTGCTTTACTGTCCCTAGACTCAGCAGCTAGCTTGCCCCTAGGTGGGTGACCAGAGAGAATGAGGCCACAATGCCTCTTGTGACCTCAGCTCTGAAGTCATACACTGTCTACTTTATTCCACTTACTACAAGCTGGTCTCTAGTCCAGCCCAGCCCACATCTGAGGTGGAGGGGGTAGGAACTAGTCTCCACCTTTTGAAGGGAGGCATGCCAAAGAATTTGTGGGCCTGTTTTCAAGAACCAAACTCGGTAAGACTTTTTGGCAAAGGCCCATTTAAATGTATTGTTGGAAAAAATGTTAACCAAGTCCTCAGTTCTCATGCTTAAAGTTTGTAGATGATGGACGTGTTTGTTGGTGGGCATGGAGTGCTGCTTTTCTTCAGGGGAGCTGGTGAAGGGAGGGGGGACTGTTTTTTTATGACTAGGAGAGCACAGGAATGCCCCCTGAGGTATCTGAGTGCAGGAGCTCTGCTGGGGCAGTGCTTAGGTGCTTTACTGCTAACTGAAAGATCAGCAGTTCAAATCCATTAGGAAGACGTGGCAGGCTGTTTCCATCATGGCTGCAGCCTGGGAGGCCTGCACTTAGTGGTCCTGTCATGTAGGACTGCTGTGAGTGGGAGCAGCGGAAGGTTGAGGTTTTTAAAATCCAGGGTTACTGGGCATTTTTCACTCTGCTGTTTATTTCTTGCTAGTCTGGCTGGAAGGAGAAACAGTGCTCACTTCCCGTAGGTAGATGTGTGTGTGTGTGAAGCATGAGCAGCCAGTCTTGTGCAGTCACAGCCTCAGCGAGTCACTAAGTCAGCAGGCCGTCCTGCTGGGAAGGAGCACTCGCTGGTGGAAGGGCGACCCTGTGGGCCTTCTGCATGGAGCGGAGCAGGAGTCAGTGACTGGTCAGCCTGCCGCCGGGAGGGTGCACTGGAGGAGTTAAATGACGCCTCTCTGAAGTGCCTCAGAGGGGAACATGGGGTTGGATTTAGGTGCGGGTTGTGTGCAGCCAAGTTGGAACTGCCCCGTAGCTAAGCCTCTGGTGTGTTCTTTGTTTTGGGGTGTTTTAAATTGTGATTTTAACAAAATTTACAGAAAAGTTGAATTTTCATTTATTCATTGTTGCATATTTTCTTTCTTACCTTCCCCAGTTCACTTTAAAAAAAATCATTGTTGCATAATTTCCTCCATCCCTCTCCACCCTCTTGCAGTCCACTTTGCTGTGTACTTATTCTGGACTGTTTCGTACATTTTTTTGAGAAAACGCCATACTGACCCCCATAGTGGTTGTACCATTTTGTACTCCCACAAGCAGTGCATAAAGGTTCCAATCTCACCACGACCTCACCAGCATTTGTTGTTTTCTGCTCTGCTGAACTTTGCTATTGTTATTGGGGTGAGATGATACCTCATAGTTGTTTTTATTTGCGTTTCTCTGAGAGCTAGGGATTTTGAACATTTTTTTCATGTGTTTGTTTGCCATCTGAATGTCTTCTTTAGTGGTCTGTTCATACATATCCTGTGCCCACTTCGTGACAAGGCTATTAACCCTTTTCTGGTTGAGGTGATGGAATATTCTATAAATTTTAGGTGTGATTCCCCTACCAGACTTGTCAGCACCAAATATTTTTTTCCCAGTCTGTGGCTTTCCTTCTTACTCTTTTGGAGGAGTTTTTTGATGTGTGTGGGGATTTGATTCTTAGAAAGAAGGTCCCATTCATCTATTTTATCCTCTCCTGGTTGTAGGTTTCTCAGGATGCTTAGAAGACTGTTTGTTGTGGATTAGAGTTCTTCAAGCTTTGATTTTACTCCCCAGTGAGTTTTTCGAGGCATTAAATCTCACAGGAGGAGATTGCTGCTCCTTCTTCCCTGGAGTAGCTGGTGAATTACAGTGCACCCCAAAGCCTAGAACCACTAGCCCCAGGGCTCTCCTAGCTTTATGTTATATGCAGGAAAACATTTGCTGATTTGACAGCTTCTCCAGTTGCATCTTCGTCACATGACAACATTCTTCAAGTTGTACAACCATGCTCACTCTCCTTTTCCAGATTTTCCACCTCCCTCACTGCTCCCTCACATACGTTCATTGTCCTTAAGGTTGCTGCACAAAACGTGTGGCTTACACAGCAGAGGGGTGAGGATGGGAGGGGGGAGTAGAGGGGTGAGGGTGGGAGGGGGGAGCAGAGGGGTGAGGGTGGGGGTGGGACAGAGGGGTGAGGATGAGTTGGAGCAAAACTATAGAGTTGCACAATTTGGTGGCTGAAGGGAGGGGGTAAAGTAAATGGGAAAGATCTCGCAGGGACCTGAAAAGATAGGGTTAATGGTCATAGTCCAATGGTGACTAATTTTATAAAATGTAATGAATGGGAATGCTTATATGAAACAAAATGTGAAAGAAGAATAGTGTGAAACACAGGGTATATGAACTTTGTAAGCTAGCCAGTATAAAAGAAGGTTTTTAAAACCCTAAATCCAATAGCAGTGTCTTCCCCCTCCAGTTTTGAGGATGGGAGGCTGAGATGAGGCGATCAGCACAGTCACTTCCTGCTGCAGCTTTGAGGGGAGTGTCGCTGGCAGACTTGCTCCAGGAGAAGTCTTGTAGAGGGCCTGCATCCAAGACCACTTGTGCCTTTTCACAAATGATACTGGGGTTGTTTCCTCACGCATCCTCCACCTCTCACTGCCTGGTGGTGCTGGGTGGTACCTGGTGGCCATGACTCCTACTTCTGCAGTGCCAGGTGGTATACCTGGCAGTCGTGACTCCTAACCTGGCAGTGCTAGGGGGTACTGGCTCCAAGTTTGGAAGTGGCGGCACTGCTGTTCAGTCAGAACACGTCTTTTTCTGGCCTGTTCTGCGTGTCAATAGACTGCTGGGTTCTGGCCCCATGTACAGAGTGCCCTGAGGTCCAGTGCTGTTTCAGGACATGCTCTGGGGAAAGGGCAGGCCAGTTAGAGACTTCTGGCTTCCCTCGGGCAAGCTTGGTCCTGTGGATCTGTCAAGGCACATGGTAGTTTAAAGGCGGACATTGGGCTATAGAGTGATAGAGGTGAGGCATTGTCAGCCAGCCAGTGGGAGCGTGTCCTCCTGCCTAGAGCGAAAGAGAGGACCATAGATGGGGGATTAATGCGATGTCAAAATATTTTCTGCCGAATACAAGAGAAATGCTCAGTATTGGTTTCTCAGTTGCCTCAGCATTGATTCATCATGTAACACTTTTCTGAAAGGATCGTAGATTCTGTGATAACTCATTGAAGAATTAATATAGTAACTCGAGCAGCCCAGTGATGAGACGGATTGAGGCAGCGGCTGTCAGCGTGGTCTTGCACACGCCTGCTCTTGGGTGGATGATCCAGGGCAGGGCAGGACTTGGTTCTGTTCCACATGGGGTCTCTATGAACTGGCTGCAACTCTAGGGCACCTGAACACCACAGGTGTGCAGGTTGTCCTGTCCCTTGGAACTTGGGAGCAGCCATGGACAGCTGTCAAAGGAACAAATGCATGACCGTATGAGGATGACCACGTCTGCCTTCACCGACTCCGCAAAGGAGCACTGTCCCGAGTCAGTAACTTGGAGTGTGTAAAAATCAGTCCTGTGGGAAGACGGTCCCCCATGCTGCTAATCACAGGATTCAGTATTGGCTGCGGAAGTTGTGCATTTTATTAAGCAATTAGGTTGGAGGTGGCGGGAGAAGGCAAAGGACATTAAATAGTGAGAATCCAGGTTCATCCAACAGCCCAGATAAACCACTGGTTTCCTTGGTCGTCTCATAGCAGCTCCAGGTTAGCTCTTGTGTTTCCAGGGCTCCCTCAGGCTCGCCTCGCTGTAGTGTCTGCAGTCTGTCCTGCTTCTGTGGCCCCACAGGTGTTGTGATGGTGTTGAAGATGCTGTTTAACAGTGACCCAGCTGTCTGCAGTTGAGGCAGCTGAGAACACTTCCCCAGAGCAGCCCAAAGCAATGGCTAGAAAAGTCATTTTCAAAAGTCCTAACACCACAGCAGCACACAAAGGGAGAGGGTGAGATTGTGCTCCAGAGAAGATGTTGTCGTGGACACGGGTATTTGGGTTTGCGTGTAATTCCCAAACATATATCTCCACTCTGCCTTGGATGCAAGGAATGAAATCCTTTAAATTTATTTATTAATTTCCTTTTATGTAATTGTAATTTGAGCAAAGTTTACAAAGC